CGACAGTGCGATAGCGACCAGAGCCAGTATACAGGGCGGTGACTATTAGACGCCTTCATTATAGCCATCTTTCTCTATCGCACGGATTTCTATGACTTACTTGATCGCCCTCACGTAACGGCAGATGGACCATCGGTACTTTCCGACCCTGTATGTTCATACACTGGCTCTGATAGCGACTATCAAAATTGAGAATTGAATGACCTCAGAAAATAAATTCTGTGGGCAAGATACCGAATGTCAAAACTTCCAAAAACTTCCAAAACTTTTCATCCGGTTAGGAAGTGTGTTAGTTCTATCAATTACTTTATTTAATTTTACGTATGAAATACTATAAATAATATTTATAAAAGAAAAGACAATCAATTTGTTTTTTATTTAATTGTATAATTTTATTGCAAAATATATAGCAAGATATTTTGAATGCTGTACGCAAATTCTGAACAAATAATAATAATAGGTCTGTTATTCCCTCGACTCCTCGTGATATTTTCTAACGGGAAATTTGGTTGTTTTGATTGTTGTTTTATAGGTAGAATATTAAGGCACACCTTACTCAACTATGGGAAAGTCATTGAACTCTCAAGTATTTTTAGAGGCAGTATTATATAAGGTGATGTTTATGTAATAATTGTAATGACTGCAACTATCACAGAAACTATCACCGTTTAAATGAGGCTTAAGACAAGATTGAAAATTTAATCGCGCCGTAACTTTCCTATTATAAATATTTTCGAATGTTTTCAATGAAAACAAAGTTTATATTGGTCTCACTAAGTTTGTTTTCAATCGAGTAATTATTTGATTAGTTACGTAACGGCATGTAAAATTAAATAGCTATATTTCTACGAATTTCAAACAGGTTATTTGTTTTAATACATTAAAAGGCGATTATTGTTTTAAAATAAGTGTTGTAATTAAATCAGATACGCTCTTGTAATCAGAACACATGATGATGTAAAGTTACAATTTTTTCAGTTTCGTATGAGAACTACTTTTAAGGGATGCTATTTTTTTTGTAATATTTTTAGAACTTGTTTATTATTTTAACAATATCTAAGAGATTTCTGGAATTTATTCAGTGTAAAACTTTTTCCCCAAGGATGATATGATAGATCTAGTTCATGAAAGAAGTTATTTCAGTCCAAAAAGCTTTAACCATTAAATATATTATTGTAAGATAAACTATATTACAGTTCCTTTCATTCTTTCTCTTATCATAAAATATAATAGCGAAAAGTTGGAGACATCCTTCGGAAGATAATGTCCCACTTAGAAAGAAAAACTTGTAATACAGTCCGTAATACGTTATTTTACTAAGGATGTTCTTGATTCAAGTAGTAATGCTTGAAATATCGATTATTTTACTTTGAGAAGAAAACGTTAAATATTTACATAGGTATATTTTACCAAACATTAATTTATAAATGTTCAGGAAATATTAAGTTCAAAGTTTCATGGTGCTTAGGGACAAAATAAATTATTACTAAAGAGCAAGTAGAAGCAATTACAAATAAACGTGATATTCACTTACCTAATAAAAAGATGTAGTGAAGCGAATACATTCACTTAATAGAACTACTTCAGTCATAAATTTCGGACTTCGGACGAGCTGATATTGGTATCTGTAAATAAAAATAGTGTTCTGGAGATGCAAAGAGAAGAAACAATAATAAGAACTGAAGCTAAGAGAATAATTGAATTTTTATATCTAGAGAACGAACAATGGGGTGATTTAAAAAAAAATGTTTAAGACTATTCTACAATGAAAGTTAATGTGAATCGCATATCGTAGGTATATACATTTTTATTTGATTTAAAAAAATGTAAATCAGCTTGTGACGTACATGACTATAGACGTTATTATAGAATGTCTAAAAAGATGGCAAACACCGCATTATAGACTTTGAAATCCAAAAGTCTAATCAAAAGATTAGTGAAAATTTTTAACAAGGTATAACATATATGGCAAGTTACAAATTAATTGTTTTATGTGAATACTTAATTTTATAACAAATTTCCATATTATAATTATAAAAACTTGTCTTGTGAGAGTAGGAAAAGAGGATAATTTTATATTTCCTTCTTCTGGCATTTCACTGTTGATAATTTTATGTGGTTCATAAATTCACGCAAGTAAATAACATTACAATGATGTTTCTCTTTAACTTCATTCACACTGGTGAGATAACGACCTAGCTAGATTTATTTCACATTAAGCGCCACACATAATTGTTCTGGGTACATATTTAGATGATATCTGATAAAGGTTTATTAGCTTTGTTGACGGTATTGTGGATGCTGATGTTATTGCTTTTTCTAACAACCGATAAAGGCAGACCCTCATGTCATAAAGTTACCTCTATCCGTGACAATCTGTGCATTTATTTGGAACAATAAAAATAAAGTTTGCACTAAGGTCAAAATTTTACTGAGGGTAAACCAATTTAGACTGTAGAATACCGTCTTAGAGATGTCTCATGTGTCCTCATTTGATAACGGATAATATTACGGCTTGGATATACTTTTCTAGTTAAAGCTGAACTATGTAATGTACCGGGAATTTCCATATAAGCATATTTCTTCCAGAAAATACAATCCATCGCAATTTTGAAATTGAAATTTTTTGGTCAGAAAACGATTTGGAAATAGAAGAATAAATACGTAATTGCCTACACTGTAAAAAAATCGGTGTGAGTGAGAGCAATAAAGGTACGGAGTGAATCCACTGAGTGAAATGGTTGAGTACATTTTCACTCATCGTTGAGCATCTTGATAATTTTACTAATTTGTGAGTAAAAGTAGTAAGTAAGTAGTAGTGAATATTTGACCGAAAATTGAGTATTTTCACTCAAATATAGGTTAAATATAGGTACCGTCAAATAGATAGAGATAAACTCGTAATTTGGTACACTTGTACCTAAATCGGAGTAAATGTCACTTATAAGGAGTAACTCATTATATGGGTGTCGTGCGTTGTCTTTGTCCATTCTCATTGTCTCCATTAGGTCATCTCGTGTCTCGGTGTATGGCGTGTAGTGCTGAACAAGTATCCTTTTATTCGGTTATTTTGATGACAGCAATTGTATTTAAGTACAATAGTTTGATTACAATAATTAAAAACAATAATATATTGAGTCTCGATTAATATTTGGTTAAATAAACGGATAGTTAGATTGTTACCTATACTTACTTATCTGTAACATACAATATACATAGGTTATGGCAATCTATTCGTCCGATCAGTTAACCAATTCTTTTAATCAAAACCAAAAATATTGTCTCAACAATAGATAAATTTAGAGAAAAACTCAACTCAATTGATAGTTAACAGAAACTCAGACCTGAGTAAAATTCACTCACTTCTGTTGCAATAGTTTCACTCACAAAATTTTAGTTGTACTTACACTAATAGAGTGAATATTTCACTCAATCATGTGTGGACAGACATACATTATTGAGTAAAATTGAGTGAAATTGAGGGATTTTTTTTTTACAATGTAGCTACAATATAATTTATGTTATTTTCAAACGATAACTTTAGCAGAATTATTAAGTTTGATAGTTTATTGGAATAAATATGATTTTATTCACCTTGGGCACATCGATATATATTTCCGAGATGTTGCTCACTTTAGGCGAATGTCAAGGAAATTCGAGGATATGGAAAAATTTTGAAATCGTTATGTGCGACACAGACAAACTTTTACGAACATTGAACATCTATTGCAGGAATATGGCTCGTTAAAACACAGACTTACTGATGATGGTCGAGTTCGATATGTCCGAACAAATGACAATTAAGAAATGGCTTTAGCAATTGTTGAGGAAAATCTTACATCTATAAGTTGCTGCCTCAAGATTCTCTTAGAAGAGTTGCGTTTTGATAAAGGAGAATGTTGCAGGAAATGCTAAACACAAATCGCAATTTCTCTAATCTTATATTGTTTACTGATGAAGCAACTTTAACAAGAAATTGTATTTCTAATAATATTAGAGTAGTAAAAACCCCCATGAGTTTTGCGAATTCCACCAGCAGCACACATTCAGTATAAATGTACGGATATGTATGATGGAAGATTACCTTTTAGTACCTCATATTATGCTGCGTCGCCTAAGAGATGGTTATCTCAGTTTTCTAGAAACAATTTAAACGACCTTCTTGATGAAATTCCATTGAATAGGCCAAAATTCACCAATTGTTTGACCACCGCGTTCTCCTGATTTTAATTTTTGCGATTTTTACTTTTGGAATCAACTTAAAGGCCTAGTTTATTCTAGATCAGTAGATAAAATAGGTTCGGATCCATTGTAATCACGTGACCATCAACATTCAATCCGTTGTGACCTTGACGGAGTGTCAAGTCGCTTTGCTGATTCACAATTCAATGTTAATGGTCATGTGGTTACAAAGGATCCGTGATCAGGCATGCGTGTGGATCCAGACTGATAGTGGAGGAATTTTGATGACATTACAAATTACAAATGGCGATCAGGAAATATTTAATTATTTATTATTAAGTACATATTTTTTTTTATTTCAAGTTTGCGAAAATGTGTTTCATAAACAACGTTGATAGTTCATTGCAAATGTTCTGAAAGCTACATAAAGTATACAGTGTTGTAAATAGTAGTGTTTCCAGTGTCGTATGTATTGCTCTCTGAAATGTCCACGTTAGAATTTTGAAAAGAATTTTTTTCTCTCGAAAACTAAGTCAGACTGCACAAAAGTAACTTCAGATTCGTGTGAAAATTGACATATTCCCAGAGAACTATTTCATCTGGACAAACAAAAACGTTTTTACTTCAAAGACATATCAATTACATGTCGCATGTTGTCAAAAACTTATTATTCTTTCGAATGCCGATGTGACTGCTTCTGTTTAAAACTTCTGTGATGCATGAAGGTTTACGGGAATTTAAAGAGATACATTCCCACAGCGCTTCCCACAAAAGTTTTCCCGCCTTCTCTCACCAACAATCATTCGTTCCAGGTGCAGATGCAGAAAGTCCACATCGGACCTGACCGATATGACGGACGAGGTCGCCAACACGACGATGACGTCCCTAAGCAGGCCCAGTTCTCCCCGCAGGAAGGGGTCCGTGAAGGGCTTGGCGTACCTCGCCTCAAGGAGGGGGTCTAGGGACTCCGTCGCATCGAATATGTCGAACGTCTCCAATGAGGACATCGGGCCCCTCAACTTCCAGAACACGGCCAGAGGTCGACAGAGGCGAACATCCAATTTCTTGGAATTGCCTGGTAAGTGGTTTGCGTCTGGGGACGAATGTTGGGGCTGAGGCTTGGTGTTTTGAATGCAACTCGGGTGAAAACGAGCGACGTTTGCCCTAATTTTATATAACGTGAAGGCAACTTCGTTCTGCACAGCACAAAAAGAAATTTAGCATATATGTACATATTTTTAATTCATATTCATAAGGTATACATCATAATGCGTAAAAAATCGGAACTTTTCCCTCAAAACAATGAAAAGGGAGTGAGGGAAAACGCACAGAAGTCAAATTGTGACGTCGTATCACTCGTTAATGGTTAATCCAGATACTTGACATCTCTAGCCATGGAAGCAGACAAAAACAAACTAATTTAAACTATTTAATCCAAATTAGAATGAAACGTCATTATACAAATTTTGATAAATTGATTTTTCGAAACATTAACTAAGTCTAAGAAGGGAATAAACACCAATAAGTATGTAAATTATTCAGGAGAGGGAAATAAAGCTTTCTTAGGTTGATATTTTCTATTGTCACATTACTTGGTTAAATATAACATTGCCAAATAAGTTGAATATTTGTATAATGACATACCCAAAAAATATTTTATGATTTATTATGATCTCCGAGGTGTGGCTATGAAATAACGAGACTGATGCCGTAAAACTTTATATTTTTAAATTTACTTAATCCATCACATCGCTCCATGTGCATTTTCAATTGGTCAAAACAATGCTGGAAGTCCCGATCATGACGCGTGTCGCTTTTCCTTTCACAGCTTCAACTGTCTTTTAATGCAGATTTGACCTTGGGGAATAGATAAATGTAACGTGGTATCAGGTCAGGCGAATAAGGCGGATGGTCTAACACTGGGATGTTATACTTGGCTAGAAACATCTTGATAGACAATGCAGTGTGAGCCGGTGCGTTACCATGATGAAGAACTCATGACTTTTTTTCACAATTCGGTTCTTTTTTTCTGATTTTTTCATGGAGTTTAGAAGAACCTCGTGGTAGTAATGCTGATTAACAGTTTGACCTTAAGGAACTCGGTGAATGTACTAATCCCATGGATGTCGAAAAAAACAATCTTCATTGCTCGTATTTATGATATTTATATGTAAATATGTTTTTATTTTTAAGAGGATAAGTCTGTAGCATAGGAGAATTTTGAAAATAATAGACTTCTGTTTTCAATTGATGTGCGTGATATATTGATTTTTTCTGGTCTGTTTCTATTTTTGAGGGTGTGTTTTGGTTAGGCCAAAATAGTGTCAAAAAAAATATCCCTTGAGTGATCCTTTTGGGGCAAAAGGATTTCTTGAATTATTTTATAATTTTTCTTCACAGATAGAAAATTATGAATTAACAGCATCAAACTAAAACTATACCACAAATAAATAACTGAAGACAATAGCTAATACCGCATTGAGCTATTTGAGTTGTGTGACGTCACGATGCTCTACGAATGGACATATTTTACGAATAGGAAGTTATTTATTATGGTTAATATTTTAAAGTCATCGACCTTATTTTTCCCCGATGTGTTTAGGGGGATGAGGGTTTAAGGAAAATGTAAAAACAATTTGTAAATTCAATATTACTGAATGAGCCCATTTTTTTACACGTAAGATTTACCTAAAGCGAATAGTTTGATGTGTGTTTTTACTAAATTCGGCGGAATTACCTGAAATATACAGGGTGTGACTTTTAATTGGGGCAATATGAGGTTACCTTTGACTTTAGATATAAACATATGCCATCAGTACGTTTTCTCAAATCCCATCTTGAAACTTAACAAAGAATACACACAAACACACCGTGCTGTCACTAAACACTGAAATTTTATAGGTACTGTTGTACAGTTACACCATATAAGATGATTCACTAAAAATCATTCTAAATTTTTCTATAAAACTAAACTTAATAAAACAAACACTTTTTCGTAAACTGATGCGATGAATTCTTGTTTCGCCGAGTTAATTTTAGGTATGTCAGGTTTATCCCGAGTAAATTACTGTAACCTAACAGTGCAGTATTTCTTTAAACGATTTGAATAGTAATGATCTGTGTTTAGGAAATAAGTACGAGAAATTATCTACAAACACATTCCAGCTTTGCAAATAATTCAGTCAAATATTGAACTGCGTGATTATTGCACTGGATATTTCTTTGGTTTAATATTGTAGAATTTGTAAGAGATAAAACTGACACATTACTAAGTGCAATGTTTCAAATAAACAATTATAAATATTTAGTAATACTTCTATTATCATTAATAATAATAATTTAAGGGATAGGACTAATCCCAGTCAGAGATGCTGACAAAATTGATGCTATCAAAAATTTGCCAAACTGTACATCTGTAGTAGATGAGTAACATACGAAAAAGCAGCCAAATCGATATCGACCACTTGAGACTCGTTGAGACGGTCCAGAATATTCTGAAACTTCGACAATAAATAGATACTTCGTTGTCACGTTTTCGCTTTAACGCTAAATCGGCCCACACAAGTTGCTTAGTCAGGCTGATGCATTTAAAGTACTGTAGCCCACAAGTGCTATTCATTTTCGGTAACTATTCTTAATGTAATTCAAACATTGTAACTGATAGAAGACAACCAATTTTGAGAAAATCCACATTGCTATCTGTAAATTTAAATATTTATACAGGGTGGGCTCTTCAAAACGAGACAGAGCGAATAACTCTCAAAGAAAATTATTTTTTCGAAAAACGCCGAGGTAGGTCGATTATTGATCGAAGGGTGGCATTTTATCACAAAAATTTCTTGTTACAGACTCTACCCTCCTAGGGAGGGGGAGCAACCCCCAGAAAATCTTAATAGAGGGTTAAGTGACACTTCGTTGGGAACGTATTCAAATTCTCTACACAATCGTGTTTTATTTTTTGAATTTGACCGATTAGTTTCGGAGATACAGGTTGTTAATAAAAAACCTACATTTTACAAATTTATTTGGAAACTTTATTTTGTCTCCATCTGCTGCGATAAAACTGTTGATCCGTTTTAAAAACTACTTTAAATGTTTAACGTACTTGGTTACATTTTTGAACCACAGTTAAAATTAGTCCTTCGGTGTCAGTCCTTATGTCAGAGTGACATTTTCTTTTATTGTTCGAAATAAATTGAAATACTAAATAATATCATCAGGCCGGGTATTGGGTGAATTATTATTTTATTGTTCCAGAAATGGTGGAAATAATTGCACTCTTTTATGGAAATAATCGGCTAATAGGAAAACAGGAACAGAAATATTTAATTATCAACACTTGGATAAACATATTCACAGGAAGCCGTAGATCTGGCGGTTCCTGACCATGTTGCCATAGATTCCAAAACGAGTACTAGGCAACTGGCAGCTAAATCCGGTTTCATGCGAACCAAAATTTGCAACATTTTTGTACATTATATATTTCAACCATAAAAAATTCACCTTGCAAAGGAACTTCATGAAGATGACCGCCGACTACAATTTTATGAAGTAATGATGAAACGAGCTATTAACAATCTTGTTATTTTTAATACCTGTTTCTCGGATAAGTGTTCTTTTTCTGTTAATGGCATCGTCAATCGTCATAATTGTCGTTATTGGTCCGATTCTAACTTAAGGATATTTTATGAGAGTCATACACAACATCGAGAAAAATTAAATGTATGGCCTGGAATTTTTGGTGACCGTATTGTTGGCCCTTTTATCTTACCAGGTAACCTCACCGGAGAGATGTACCTGGATTTGTTGGAAAACAACATTGATCCAGCGTTGACAAACATTATGGAGAATAATGAAAATTATTTCGAAGATCAGTTGATATGCCAACAGGATGGAGCTCCCCCACGCTACCTACGCCTTCGATATTCAACAGTATCTTGATCATAGGTTTGCGAATCAGTGAATTGGGAGAAGAGGTGTCATAGAATGGCCTGCACGATCGTTTGATTTGTTTCCTTTGGACTGCTTGTGGGGTCCAAAATGTATTTCACTCCACCTTCTTCTCTTCAAGATTTACGCCAACGTATTCTCAACGAATGTCGCCAAGTTACTCCAGAAATCTTACAAAATGTGCGTAAACGCTTTTTACAAAACTTATATACTTATATTACTGTATGGAGGCTGGAGGTCATCAATTTGAACACTTAATTGGCTGACATGTAGTAAAATGCAAACAAATCTGTAAAAAGTAGGTTTCTTTATTAACCTGTGTCTCCGAAACTAATCGGTCCAATTCAAAAAATTAAACCTTGCTATTGAAAACATAAAACTTGTTCATTTGGTATGGCTGGATTCGGTTTTCTATAAGCTTTTCAATGAGCCCCCACATGCCTTATGTTTCCATTTGAAAAAAAAAGTAGGGGTAGCTGGGGGTTAGGGAGTTGAAGGAAAATGAATTATTATATAACCGAAAGATGGGAAAAATCAAAATCCGTTAACGTGTTTCGGCGTTTTAAAAAAAATTAACTCATTCAAAAGATATGAATTTTATTCCGTACTTCTGGCCATCCCTGTATAGTAATTTAATTAAACAACACCTTGAATTACTTATTAGTTTTTATATCAAAACTGTCTTACATTTTCTAAGTGTGTGATTAATTAATTGTAAAGGACAAGAGAGTCCGTTTAATTGACATTATCCACAGTTTTTGGAGAAGTTAGGTTGTCCGCGGCCAGAGGGCAGCACGATCAAAACAGTCAGATCTAAGAAATGGTGCCTCAAAAAGAAACAATTAGTTGCTAAAACTGTCATAATAGGATAATAGAAGGAATAAATGTAATAAACAGGGTAATTCATCAGATCTAAGGGCGTCCATCGCGTGCCTCGCGACCTACAAACGTCAAAATTTAGGGCAAGCGTCAGTCTTCAGTTTGACTTATTTGTTAGCGTAGCTTCTAAACGTACATACATACAGTTATGACTGTTTTCAGATGGCAATTGAAAAATAGCTTATTATTTGTAAACTTTTTTATGTTTGCATATGTAGCATCACTTCTACGAATATGTGAATGGAATTTCCGCACATTCCTTATCGCAATATTTTTTTTGATACCTAGCTGGTACTATGACACCTGGACAATATTATTTCAAATAAAGTTTTCCTTTTAAACGACCTTGAATTTAGCTGTGAATCTGTTTGTTAGAAACCCAAAAAGCAAGCAAAGCTTTATGTACTAAACTTAATAATGAATTGATTTACGAAGCCCTATCCAGTTCGGATTATCTTTTAAAAGTGTTGACGTGCCGGGGTTTAAATTTTAACTTTAGAAATTATCTCGCACCAACGCAATAAAGATGAGATACCTTGATTTTCGTCAAGTTAGGCTACCCGAAAAGTTTCTGATCCCGACTTAATAACCCTCATTTTTTATATTAGCACGCGGCAGCGGTACAGTACGATAAATAGCAGTATAGCATTTATAAAGGCGTTTCTAAAATGTGGTGCTAAACTGAAACAGATGATAGGATTCTAGAGGCGGGTCCAAAAGTGATTAGTGAAAAAAATATTAAACATCTTACTTTAAAGAAAATGACAAGGACAGTTTCTATTCCTATATGAGACTATTACAGTAATCTACATATCTGTCCTGAGTTTCATGGACATGAATAGTTTGAATTTACTAAAAAAATAAATAATTGTTACCCCCTTATTCACCCTATAACATTCTTTAAAGTGTTTTCGGACTCATGTTCATAGGAAATTTTTTTCTTCAAATGGTATTTTTTACCTTCTAGTTATGTTCGGCACTACATAATAAAGACACCCCAATTTATTGGTGTATGGTTTCGTGCGCCACGATATAATTTCAAACTCTCCAAAGTTCATTCGTGTCAAGTGGAACGAACAGAACTATATTAACATATATTCATAAAAGTAAACATCATCTATTCTGTGAATGACGGCTTCAGTCCCCATTGGCTTATATTGGTATTTAATCCGCTGTGATAATTATTGGATGCAACCTGATATCTACGGATGTGGAACGAGAAATAAAAAACCGGATTAGTGCAGTTCAAATTTATTTCTGACATTAAACAAAATTTGATTTTCAGTCATCGTAGTTTTTCAATTTTTTTATTTAAAATTGTCGTGTCTGCTTTTTTCGTTAAATTATTCCAAAATTTACAAAATTCAAAGCTCTTTATGTATAAAAAAGTATTCTGATCCAACAGAATATATTCTTATCCTAAAAATTTTAAATTCTTAAATGGAAATATGGATGATAACTGAAAATAATTGAAAAATTCTATTATCCGAAAATGAACAAAACAACAATACTTATAAAAAAACTATCCCGAAGACAATAAAAAATAAAAAAATAGTTAAATGGGGATGAACTATGAACCAAGAAAAAAACTAAAAGCATGAAAGTTAGAACAAGTAATATGCATTTTTCATGTTCGAACATACTTTTGTGAAAATTTTTTTTAATATTTTGAAAATTAACATGTGAGGTTGTTTCTATAATAAGTGATTCCTTTAGTTTTTGTTCATCGGAGTTCCCCAAAATAATATTAAAGTCGGGCAAAAGTAAAATTTGGTTGGAATCTTTAGAATTAACAATTTTTTCTATCTCATTATGTTGCCAAGTTGGCAGTACCAACAATGGCCACTAATAGCGGTTAATCTAATCTACATAAACTAGATTTAACCTCAATAAAATATCAACGTAAATAACGCTCTATTGATTGTATGAATTTTGGTTTTCTTCTTACAGTGAGATAGATTATAGCAAAGATGCAAACTGATCCCATCTTCTTTATTGATCCATCTCACTGACTTTCGCCATTTTACCCTCTACTCGAGGAATAGGGTAGCAGCGTAATCCTTCAACAATGCACCTGATTCATTGGAGAGTGGCGCTGATTAAAGTCTCGTGCTTTTCGGCCTTTTCCCATCGCGACTCCTTCTGTCAAGCTCAGTTTTGGACTTGAATTCTGGACCTACTAGAGTAGGATATGCTATTTTTTGGTTTGCACGGCTGTTTGCAATGAGGCTCCCAACTGAGCCTTTTTTGACTTTTTATTTTGTCACTTCGAATATTTGTCTTTTGTGACCTTCACTGCCTTCCTCCCTTTGCATAATCACTTTTTTGGGTTTCTTGGAGCACCTCGATTTTTGGGCTTCTTGAGCCTTTTTGTAATAGATTATAGGTTCCTAGTTATTCCTGGGTGATTAATTGATGTATTGATGATCTAGCTGTGAGCTAGAGTTTTTAACAATTTATTGAGTATATTTGTGTACTCGACTTCTTTTTGTTCACAATTTTCACCTAAGTTTGCATTGTTTTTTCCCTAGTACTGTAGTGAAGTCTGAGTTTACTGGATATTATTTGTGTTAATATTGGTTTGGGTCTATGCAATAAACTGTATACAATATAATGGTAATAAAAGCTAAGGATCGTATAGCATACCACGTACTCTTTAGGCACTTGGTCCTGGTCAACAATCTGCGGATGATCAGAGTCGACATTCAGTTGCATTTCCTTTTGATAATTGTGCTAGATTCCCAGAGCAGATTTTTGAACTTCGGATGCTCTTGGAACAGAGGGATTTTTATCTTCTGTCTTTCTTTGGGTGATCTTGATCCATTACAGAGGAAGTTTCTGTGAATTTCGGGATGATTTCATTATCACTGATTTTTCTTCCTGATTAAAGTTTGTAAACGACAGAATTTGAAAGATCGATGAAAATGTTCGTGCTGGACCGGAGTTGTTGGATAGTTTGCGCCTAGTACTACCATGCTGAGGTGCTTTTAAAGCGGAGGATTTCTTGATCTTGATTGGAAACGTGGATGAAATTTGAAGTTGATTCTTTGTAAACTATATCTTTCATTCGAGACCAAATAGAAAAATCAAGAGGATTGAAGTCCAGACTTCTGGATGGCGAAGCAAAAATGCTTACATGGCTATTCCAGCGATTTGGAAAAACTGTATCTAAATATGCACGCACTGGCCAAGAAAAATGCGGTGGAGCTCCTTCGTGCATAAACCACATGTCTTTTCTTAAATAAAGTGGAACTTCTTCAAGCCGTGGAAGCATTTTTATTTGGCCACCCAGAAGTCCGGACTGCAATCCTCTTCATTTTTCTATTTTGAAGAATCTATTGGTTCCTTTGTAGAGTTGTGACAAAGAATACAAATCGCTGCCAACGAAGTCAAACGCAATCCCAATATGTTGTTTCAAACTCGAAGATCTCTCAGAAAACGTTGTGTAAAGTGTGTAAATGTCAACGGTGGATTCTTCGAACACTGACTTTAAATCATTATTACGAATTTCATTTGTTTTATTGTTAATTGTTGTAATAACACGAAGAAACACTTGGTTTGTTTCGCTTTTAATTTCTCGTATTATCAAAACATAGTGTTCGTTAAATCGATTTTTCTCGAAAACGGATCGAGATACCGAAATGAAACAAGAATACACAATTAATGGAAAAATGATTGCTCTTTCAGGTTTTGAATCAAGTTTCATGTTAGACATACAGGGTAAAAAGTTATTAACTAAATTTTCGGTAAAATTGGTCGTAAGTGGCGCCCTCTATGAGCAATGCTGAAATTACAACACGCATCTTATTCGTCGCCTAAAAAAATATAGTTTCACAAATTTTCAAGTTCCTAACCTACATATTTTCAGAATAATCGCAAAAAAACGATTTAAAATTTTAACTTTCAACACCCTGTATTTCCGAAACTATCAACTTTCAGATAAGGCATGTTTGCGCTAATGGTCACCATTTCATGTGTAGTATCTTCAGCTTTCGATTTTCCCATTGTTAATGAATCACCCTGTATATTTTTAATGATGCGATAACTGACTGACAGGCGTTTAAAAGTTCCTCTACGAGTATTTTTTTTAGTTTCCATCTTTGGTAGTGCCT